CTTAGATTTTACTGTAGTGTTGCATACCTTAAGATTTGTCTGGACGAGCAGAGTTGAACACTGCTTTTCCTTTTGAAAGAAAACACTGTAACAATTTATGGCGGAGCACTAGAGCATGCTAGTTTATCACAACCGTAATGAAAGATAAAGAGCCTAAAGAGATCTAATTAAAAATCTTTGATCTTTTTGATATTTTCTTTGCTCCCCACTATTTTTCTTCCTCCTTTCCGAGTTCCTCTGTTTGTTTACTTCAATTATACATGAAGATTGTTGAAAACCTAGATAGCTTGGTATACAGTCAAGCTTGAAAAACGCTTAAATATGTTTCACAGCCATAGCAAATACTACTCGATTAGTTTGTTAAAATTAAACTGCTCTACTCACAATGCTGCTCATCGCTGAAATCACCCTCGACGCAATTTTGCACACCATTGCATACCAATGAAGAATGAATGCAAAGTTGTGGTCGCGCAACACAAACACCTTGATCCTAAAGGGTTTATGATCAGCTAGGTAAATCAATAGGAGCCCTATAATCAATAACAATCAATGATCGAACCTGTTCTACGCATATTTGACCACCTTGGCATGTGAATTCAGTGCAAGTACTGAAATGAACGGCATCATCTTTGCGTTTGGATGATGATGACAAAGCAGAAGAGGCGGGAGGATTTTCATCGAATAATCCTTCTACAGCTGTCCAAATCAGCTTAAATTGGTCAGCAAATTAATTTTTGAATTAAAAGGTCATCATAACGTCAAAAAAGCTTCGAACCTTAAAACCAACTCGTTGACCAGCTGTTGATATGGATGGTCTATCCTTGGTATTCAATCTGAAAGTGAAAGATTAATAATGTAGAGGGACCCTCTATGTCCCTAGTGTTTTTAGCATATTGCCAAATGAATTTCTGCAGAAGAACGAGGCTTGCACGATGTGATCAATCATATGCAAAGGCTTATACAAAATCTAGCTGCAGAATCCTTGGAAGTAGCTATCCATCATCGTCGAAACGCTTGAAAAACTCTCGGAAGGAAAATATTTTCGGGTAGCGTCT